CCATGTTCCAAAAAATTTTCAAGACTTCCATTTTTCCCACGACAAACGACAGCTCATATTGGTAGGCTAAAAAAAAAAGATGTGTTAGTGACGAAATGTTTCTCTTATGAAATGATTTTTTAAGGAAGTAAAAAAGTCGAATTCAATAAAACTCTTTTGGAATCAACAAGGCAATATTATGGAATCTGAGATAATTGAAGAAAAACCCAATTGCTGTGGGAAGGTTATCTTTACAAAGTACTATTTCCAGCGCTATTATTTTCTAACTTTATTTTTGATTTTAGAAAGAAGTAATGATGGAGTTTGAAGGAATAGGTTTTCGTCATCTTCGTCCGCAGTGCAAGAAAATAAATCATAAATTACACATCTTACAAGTCACAAACTACACTGACAAACAAGATTAGATCTCTCCAAGCTGTCAACTGGCGATGACGTACCTACTAGCAAACGCAAACAAAAACGTGGAGATTATGAAAATTTTAATTCAAGGTTGTTGAAAGATATCACATCCATAGATAAAGATGATAGCGAAGAGAAAGATGACGAAAGATGATGAAATAACTAACAACGAAAATTTTTATCTTTTGAGGAAGTAGTCAAACCCAATAATTCAGAATGGATGTTGTCAAGCGGAGAATTTCGTCAGAAATGTCCTCTCACAATCAGCCATTAATGATTCTAGAAATTCTAAAAATAAAAGGCTGACCGTTTATACAGTGAGGTATTAGGTATACTTTTATTACACATATAACGAAGAGATCTATTGAGTAGGCTTGGATTGTCTTCTAGCGTAGATTTGTCATCTGCATTTCTAGGTTCAAAGAAGAATGGACTAGCGTAAAACAAAAAGTAACAAAGTCGAAGCATCATGTTACCAATAAAATGTGAAGCTGTGTTCTTGAAGGCATTGGGAAGATTGAGGGTGTAAGTAAAACAGACAGTTGATTGATTGTTTTGAATGTTTTGTACACTAATATCACTTCTATACAGATATGTTTAGATTATCGATATTTGATAGAACAAGGACAATATTTAAATTAACAATTTTTTATCAATAATTCCATCAACGTTACGTCTTGAAATGAAATATAATCGCTCGTTCATTGTCAGAATCCAACAAAGCTTCAAATTTTTTCATCTCTCTTAATAAGTGAAATCAAGGATTTTTCAGGAAGTGAAGCAAAATCAAAGCGATTTAAAATTTTTTTCAGGATTTTAGTAGGATTTCTATTTCTCAGGAGAGTTTTTGCAGATTTGAATATGAAATTAATTCGAATGATTAAAATGAAATTGATAAAAGTATTATCGTTCAAGCATTGCGTCCGCATGGATAATGGCTGAAACAAAATTAGCACAAATGATTAACATATATAATGATATAATTATCAAAGAGAAAAACAGGGAAGATGGACGCTAGTTAGGACGAAACGTAATATGCTTATATACCCTTAGGTTCAAGGTCAACACTAATTACCCGTAAAGTTAAACATTTTTTTTTAATTTAGTAAGTTTATGTAATGAGGACTTAGAAGTTGCGATTATGTGAGTAAATTTGGCGTAAAAATTGGGAGAAGATTTTGGTTTACTAATCCAGATATTATACAGGACAGATTACAGTAAAAGTGACTACGCTACGTCACAATTTATTATAAGGCTAAAATTTGATGTGATAAAGTTTAACTTTTGGTTAGTTTTAGTAGCTAAATCAGGTTTAGACAACGATACTTCAGTTTTTTTTTTTGCTTTTCAAAAAAAAAGAATCTATAATTATATACTAGGATCAATAATAATAAAAAATTTGATTACTCTTTTTTTTATTTTATTGCTTGTAGCTTAAAAATAAAAAACAAGGTGCTTTTGGCAGCAGCGAATATTTTTTGGTGTTAGATCGCTTCAGGTCGCGTATTTAATCTTTTCATTAATTTTAATATTAATATTTTCATAGGTGGGCGCTGCTAGCCGCAACAATTATTTCGAAATTTTTTTTTATCTGTCACTTTCGGGTAATTAATTTTTTTTTTTATCATAAATTTTTAAATTATTTACAACATTACAAATTTATATTAATAATCCTATATATAAAAAATTCTTTATGACTAAATTGTTATTAAAAAAAAAAAGTTTTTTTAAATTTTATTTTATTTATATATATAAAATAAAAAAGTTTTAAAAAAATTTTTTCTTTGCGATCCATATATCGGATGCATCCCTTAGTAGTAATAGAAGGTAATACCACATCAATCACGATCATATAATACTATGCTTCATAAATTATAAAATTGGAGTATATTTATAAGCTATAATTCCGTTTTTTATTTTTAAATAATTAATTTTAGTCTGGATAAAATGTTGCCAACTTTTATCCTTTCTTGATTTGCCGAAATATATACATAATCCGAATATCCGAAAAGTAAAAATTTACGCAATATTCTAAACGCTTAAATTATCTAACGGGGTAAACGAAGCAAATTTCTTTTGTAAAATAATAGCAAACATTTGTTGAATTATTTCCATTTTATATATCAGAGCAAGATTGTATTGAAAGATTATATTTTAAATTTTCTTCAGTAACATCTTTTAATTGGCCGCTGAAGGTTCTATCTCTTCTGTATACATCTTATAAAATCGAATAACTTGAGATAGGTAAATTTATCAATATTGATCGTATTATAACTATTTGATTTGAGGATTGAAGATTTTATTCATCGTTATTTATTTGATTCTTTTCTATTTTGTAATCTGTTGCAATTAATTTCAATTTAGTGACCACTTGATTCATGGAACGATTTATCCAGTTCATTATCCCATCATTTTTTTTTAAAAAAAAATCTTAACGTTAGGTTGATTTTAGTTGGACTGCATTCAAATTAAGCTTCATTGATACAATGAAATTTAAATCTTACATTACACGCTCTTAAGAGAAGCCATCTAAAAACTAAGATAAAGACGAAACTTATTTTTATTAAGATATTTCTAGAGATAATGGTTATACTTCAAGATCAATTGTTCAGGAAAATGGCCTATTCTTCGATCGGACAAGGTCAGAAGTGCTTTTTATGTTTGCGCTGCTCTATAAATATAAGAATTTTAAAAGAAAATTCAAACCATTAATATTTTGTTAATGTATCAACATATGGAAGGTAAGCTATTAAATCACGTTACTGGTTATATGATTTACTATGTTCATAACTCAATTTAATAGCAAATCTCTCATATGGGACCTTTGTAATAGAAAAGGGGAACCTTCCGGAAAAATCAATTTTACTTTTATATGCCAAATATGACTTTTAGTCATAATATGTTTAGATTTAGCATTAACACATTTTTTATTTTTTCTAGCCGTTTCCCCCTTTTCGATTGCAAAGGCCCCATATATAATTTATAATTTGAACCAATCATCAATCTTTTGAGTGAGTTGATATAAATTTTATCTGAATAAATTAATTTTTGTACTCTGTAACGAGTATTTTTAGGAAAATTGGGGGTTTTTTTTATAATAATAAATATTTGAAAAGCATATATGCGACCTTAATAAACTTTGTATATCTCCTAGTAAAATGATCTCTAACATTGATTAAACTACAAAATATTAAATTATTAATAACAACCTTTGGCAGAAGTAATATTTTCTTTAAGAGAATCAATTAATTTTAAATTCTGCAAAAAAAGTACCTGTAAATTTATCTTTCTGCAGGATGTATTAAAACATTATTTCATAATTTAATAACTTACATAAAAATACATAAGTTACGAATATAATCTGGATTATTAAATTCCGCGCTTCACGTTTTCATAAAGCATTTTCTTCAAATGAAATGTCATCATCATACAAATTGATCTTTCTGAATATCGAATCTTCAAATTCTTTCTTGATGTTATCTTTAGATACCATTTCAAATAATCGTTATTACTTTTTCAACTTAGTTTCAACACATTTGATGTTCTTATCTTGTTCATTGAGCTTTTTATATTTGTTCCATCCCTTCCATTTACAAATATGGGAATTCAAAATTTTTTCATAATATCGATTTATTTATTAAATTATAAAGAATTAAATTAATCGTATTTGGTCAACCCTTATAAATATAAAACCTGTTTTTTTACCATTTGTTATTCTATGATCCGGTTATTTATAATTATCCGACCCGCCTATTACAGATCAATTTTAAAATTGAATTGTGATCGGCAAATTAGTTCCCTCAAAAATAATTTACGTGGATTCCCTTACTCCTATCATAGTCGGTTAAAGCCATCTGTAAATAGCACAAAAAAGCTGATACTTTCATCCTGAAAAATTTATTTTTGGGGGGGGCAGGATAGAGTTAAAATTTTTATTAAAAGTAGACCTACTGCAATTTACATAAAAAGGTGAGAACTAGGTTGTTGAATCGTTTTATAATTTTCTGTCCCCAGAATACTTTGTAAATTGAAGAGCGTCTGGGATGTGACGCGATGTGACAAATTTGCTGACCCCTTAACTAATCCTAAATCTACCCTAATCCTAATCCTAATCCAAACCCTAACTCAAATACTTAACCTAATAATAAATACCCGGCAAATAAAATCCGGTTACCATTTTACGGAAGAATGGTCACTCTCTTGTGTTTCAACCACAGTTAAGCACAGCCCCAGCATTGAGGTTGCTTTTCTCGACAGGGAATAGGACCAATTGTGCCACGTGTTGAAATACTCCACAAATATGTTGTAGCGTATGTTTCCAATTGTTGATGGGTTAATTAATAAAAATTTCAGGTTCAATTCCTTCCTACTCTTTTTGAATTATACAAAGAACAACATCTATAGTGATCAACAATATATTGACTTGTTTCTCTACACGCCTCTTCAAAATTGCCTATAAATTTTCAATTGGATTGAGGTCCGGACTATTTGATGGCCAATCAGTAGACAGTATATAAGATTATCTGTTCTATTCCAAACTATATAAAAATAAAAATATAAGCTGCGTGACCATATAAAAATTTGTTGCATCACATACTGTATATACTGCACGAATTATTAAAAGTTTTCTATACTGAATTTTTATTCAGAAAACTTTTTTCGTGTGCTATACATGCTTCTAGGTACAAAATTCTCTCAAAATATCTTGGTAATTCTGAAAATTTACAACTAAAATGTTTAATATCAAATTAATCATAATAATAAATATAATGAATGATGTAGTGAATTTTATTAATAATGTTTATTCTTAAAAATATAGTGAGTCATAGATAAAGAGAGTATAAGTAAATGTTAAAATTTTTTCGGATAAATTTAGTATTTATCCTCAGGTAACGAATGCTTTTAGTAAGTTTTAAATTTGGATAGCTTTTTTGTTATAATTATTTTATCAAATAAAGTATGGCCTAGGACACCAGGACTCTATTTATTTTTAAGAAAAAATTTCTCGAACCTGAATTAATGAAACTAGATATCAAACAAATTTCTGAGCTTTACATCATACATTATGACGAAAATAAGAAAATATCAGTCCACCAAAAGTGGTGAGTATAGTATTATTGATTTGGACTTGTAAGCCAGTAAATGTAAATTCAT